ATAAATCAAGCTCGCCGTTCGCAAAGGCACACTGGTACCACACCACGAATTCCAGATGAGCACTTATCATGTTTCGGATTTGCATCAGTTTAACTATTAATCTTAAAACAAATTTGTGTTACATTAAATGAGATATTGCTATTGGACTTACATAGAATCAAAAAGACAAATAAAAAAGTCCCCAGTCACTTGCTCCCAATATGAATAGGTAGAAACATGACAAAGGTCAGACAAATGCCCAAAGATATTCTTAGTGGTGTCTAAATTATATAAAAACCAATTAAAGTGTTAAATCACACAAACCATCAAAACATATTAAAATTAGTCAGATAAAAAGACAATCACAAATAGTCAAAAACTAAAAAGTCAGAGGGGAAAATAAAAGAATAAAAATAAAAATAAATAAGAAATAAATAAATAAAAAATAAAAATTATTATGTTGAATTGTAAAATTATAGTCATATCATGTCATATATCATTATGTCCATAAAAATGAGTGAATAAATATCCATGAGCGAAAAGTCGAGTAGTCTGTATCAAATAGTAATCATTACTATTGTCAGAAAGACGTGTAAAACAAACCGATACAGGATTGAAAGAAGGAGACAAGAAAAGGAAAAGGGAAAAGAGAAAAAATGTAAGTGGTGAGGACGGAACAATAGAAAGAGGAGGAAAGAAGGAGTTAAATCAGGGATAATTGGTTAAGGACAGGCAGATAATTGTCAGGCAAAAGATCCGTGTTGCTTGAGGCCGTGTTGTTTTTGATGTAAAAAAATTTCAATGAAAATTTAATAAATTGGCGACCTTTCTTGTCTGATTTAAAAAAAATTTTAATGAGTATTTATGTACATACCTATATGCATATACATACATATATGCATATTCAATGTTATAGCAACATTTTACAATCAATGTTGAAAAGCCAACACAGATTAGATGTAAAAAAAGACATCCGCACATCTATATAAAACATTACAACGTCTCATCAACATTTTTTCAATGTTATGTGCTGGGAACCCGTCAACCCTATAATTTATTTTAATTTGCACTCCATCACCAGATGGCAGTGCCTTATCTTTTATTGTAGAGATCCTTTAATAAGAGTCTGGCCATCATATATCTTTTCAATATCTCGATTTTGAAATATTTTGATTGATCCGTCATTTTTTTTCTAATAATGTATTAATGTCATGTGACATCGATCATAACATCTAACGATCATTGAGTTTGTTTTCGGTGTTTTTTTTTATTTTTATTATAAAAAGAAAGACAAGGAGAAATTATATATTTTACAAGGTTTTTTGGATGTAATTGCCAAACATAAATCTTCAAAACATTGTAGTCATTTTGAGGATTGTAAAATATTATTGGAATTTTCTATTATATTCAGTCAAATATTGATATGTCATACGTATCTCAAAAAATAGAATTAAATTATATAGAAAATAGCGTTTTATATAATATCGCTGGTTACATAGTAACGAGTATTTAAAAAAATACACAGCTTTGTGAGCAATGTATTTTTAGTGTAGATTCTACAAATCAAAATTGTTTATGACATGCAAAATTAGGACGATTAAGAAATTACAAAGATAACACTTTATTTTTTGTTAATAATCAAACATTCAAAATATTTAAAAAACCTAGAATATATATTCAAAAAATATCCAAAAATCTATTCGCAATAATAAGAAGTTTTTAAGTAATAAATTTCTTAATATTTTAAGCAATAGTCACATCTTGCAATGTCATAATTTAAATACAATAATTTAAATACAAAAATAGCAAACAGATTTGCAGTTTATAGATAAGGATAATAAGAAAAGAATTATTAAACATAAATATTATGACAGTAAGTCAATGACAATGGATAATGCAATAAAATAAATTAAAATAAACTTTGTTTATTTAATTTCCTCTTTGTTCATCCAATAATGAAAATATCATTTTGCATTTATCATTGGTTACATGTTACATCACTGTTACAAAAATGTAATTACTGACCAATATAATACTAGAAATTATTTATTTTGAATATTAAAAGCACAAAATAATATTGCTTTTAATATTCAAGTTGAGTAATTAATCACTACCTTTCAGCATTCAATTTCTATAAAGACATACGTTACAAATCTAAATCTAAAAATAATTTTATTAAGAATTTATTAAAAAAAAAGAATTGTGTTACAATCTGTGAAAAATAAAATCTGCCTGAATAATATTCGAACCGATATATGTTTGTTTTTTTAAAGTTACGTATGTTCCATCATTTCATAAGTTTTTCTGAGGTTATGTATGTTCCATCATTTCATATGCGCTGAATCCCTTCTTAAATTAAAGAAAAAATGGCGGACCAATCAAAACGCTTCAGAATCGAGTTTCTGATGGCCAGACTCTTATTAAAGGATTTCTATTTTGTTGTCCATCTTATATACAGAGCTTTCATTTCTCTTAGTATATGTTCTGTGATTTAAGATCGTCTTAAATAAGCTCATATAGCTATCTTATTGACATGTCATCTTAAGATGATCTTAAATATAAGAACTATGAATACCGGCCATAGACTTCCACAAAGCGGAACTTTTGTGGGTTTCTTGTGAATGTCTATTGGAAGTCTAATGGGAAGTGTACTGGAAGTTCCAAATATCCATGATGGACGTCTACTGGAGTTTTGTTCTATATAGGATAATATGTTCGCTTTGATGTAATTTCAGAAATGCTTCTGAAATATTTATGAAATATTTTAATAATAAATCTAAAATATATTGGAAATATTTCAGTTATAATTTTCTTATACAGTGCTGAAGTATGTTAGAAAGGTTTACAAATCTTTCAATGAAAGTTGAAATCTTTAAAAAAATATTTCAGGTATGTTTCACACTTATGTTATGTCCGCTTTTTGAAAACTTTCTGAATGTTTTCTGAAACCTTTTATGCTTTGTAGGTATATTATTTCTATTAAGCTTCTGTGAAATATATACAGGGTGATTGAAAACAACTCTGGGTCTTTGAAAAGACATGATTTTGATTATATTCCGAGATAATTTTTCCTTTTACAAAATTTTGCCCGGAGTCTAGTTTTTAAATTATGAAAAAAATAATCTTGTTATCACAGGACAAATACAAGAGATAAATAGTAGCAGATAAACTGTAACCTTTTCTTAGACATATAGTCGCTTAAATATGAGGCAGTTGTTAATTGTTACGTCTGACAGTAAGTTGTGTGGTCACTGCTTAGCTCCTGTATCTGTCCTGTGATAAGAAAACTATTTTTTGTTATAATCAAAATAAGTCTTTGAATAAAGTTTTGTAAAAAGGAATGTTGTATCAGAATTTAATCAGGATTTCCCAAGAACACAGTCTGATTATATTTGCTGCGATAGTAAAAATGTGACTAATATAACGTTTTATCAGTCTTAATTACAGCTATATGACTGCAAACGTTATTTCGCTGAATTTTTAACTGCCAAAGCATTGTGACAGCTAATAAAAAAGTCAAATGCAGCTGTAGCTATTCCATTTTTCTCCCAATTCTCGGGCATAACACATAAAAACTTCCCCGTCTTTAATCGTTTTTACGATTATGAACATCTTTCTAGTACAGCACGAAACAATATCAATAGTACCGTAAGTTGTTACCGCATAGGTTAGATTAGGTTATAGAAACTAAAATACAACCAAAATAGCTGTAATCTGGTTATAATTTATG